GGGCTCCCCCTGGCGGCGGGGCGCGGCGCAGCGCAGGCGGTGTCATGGCGGAGCTCGGCGCCCACCTCACGGCCGCCTCGGCCGGCGACGACCGACCCTCTATCTTCGAGGCGGTGGCGCAGGACAGCCTGATGGCCGCCGTGAAACCCGCGCTGCAGCACCTGGTCAAGGTAAGGGCGAAGCAGGCCGCAGGCCTGGGCCGAGGGGAGGAGAGGAGGGGCCGGCGGGGTTCTCCTCCCTGCAGGCCTGGGGGCACGGCGCTGCGGGGAGCGGGACACTGAGGTGAGCAGTGTCTTGAGGGTGAATAGTCTGTGGGGAAACTGCTGCAGAGAGGGACCTCGGAGAGGCTGCACAGCTCAGTGCCGAGCCGTTCGTCGCCAGGGTTTAACTCAGGCCATGCTCACAAGCTACTCTTAACAGTTTTGCCTACCCAGCTCAGATTATGAACTGGAGGTGTAACGTATAGCTACTGTAATTTAGCACATTACTCCACTTACCCGCCCTTCTGTTTTGTGTCCCTTTCAATAGGTGCTTGCTGAGTCTAATCCTGGCCGATATGGCTTTCTCTGGCACTGGTTTGATGAGATCTACGTCCTCCTGGATTTGCTGCTCCAGCAGCACTATCTGTCAAGGTGCAGTGCTTCCTTTTCTGAAAACTTCTATAGCTTAAAGAGGATACCGATAGGAGACTGCAAACAGCAACCTCTGGCCACTGCTGGCCTGCCAAAGAGGCAGCACTGGAAGTCTCTCCTCTTGCTGGTTCTTGTCCCTTATCTGAAAGGAAAGCTGGAGAAACTGGTGTCCAGCCTGAGGGAAGAGGATGAGTACTCCATCCACCCTCCATCTTCATCCTGGAAGCGCTTTTACAGAGCCTTTCTAGCTGCCTACCCCTTTGTAAACATGACCTGGGAGGGCTGGTTTCTTGTCCAGCAACTGTGCTATATCCTCGGGAAAGCTCAGCATCATTCACCCATGCTGCGGCTGGCTGGTGTTCGCCTGGTCAGACTGACTGCAGAGGATATCCAGGCCCTGGAGAAGAAATTGGCTGGAGCCACCTCAAGTCAGACACCCAGGTATGTTAGAACATAGCTCAGCTTTCTAGAGGGTTCTGTGGGAGCATAAATTTGGAGGTGATGCTCCAGAAATTCTTCAAGATGAAGTTTACCTCTGGCAAAATGTGCTCCAAAAATGTGTATTGTTAGTGTATAAGGAAACAAGTAGCAGGAGTTATTCATAAGATTTTGTGGTTAATAGAATTGCAATGCTGGAAGGAGGCAGGGAGGAGTGTTGGCATTCCAGCCCTTATCTTGTCCAGTTTTCACCAGCACTTTTCTAACAAGGGAAGTAGACTGCAACAATATTGCTAAAAGGACTGAAACTTAACTCTTTTGATTTTTCTGAGCAGCAGCTAGTCATGACTACACTTAATGTCCTGTAAAATGGTGATCCATGAGTAAAATGCTCTGTGGCCCAGGTCCTCTCAATCCAAACTCTTCTAATTTAGACATCTGAACAAAACAGGACTTGAAGCTTTCTTAAAATACAAAGGATCTGGGAGAAACATCTTAGAAGATGCCTCATTACAAACATGGGATATGCTGAACAACTTCTTTAGCATTAAGAAGCTGTATAAAGCAGTGACTTACTCCCCAAGTTCTTTTTGCTTTGGTTTGCAGATGGACAAATGTGCAGTAGTAATGATTTCTCCGTATCTTCTCTTTCTTTTACAGCATTAAAACACAAGTGCAGTCAGCAGTGAGGAAAGCGTTGGGTGGCATCGCCTTCTCCCTGTCCTCTGGGCTGTCTGTCAGCGTGTTCTTCCTCCAGTTCCTGGACTGGTGGTACTCCTCAGAGAACCAAGAGGCCATCAAATCTCTGACAGCGCTCCCGACTCCTCCACCCCCTGTGCACCTCGACCACGGGGCCAGCTCAGCTCTCTTACCTAAACTGAAGACCGTGTGCCCTCTGTGCCGCAAAATCCGCGTCAATGCCACGGCCCTGTCCACATCTGGCTTTGTGTTTTGCTACCGCTGCGCCTACAGTTATGTGAAGACTCACCAGCGCTGCCCGATCACAGGCTACGCCACAGAGCTGCAGCACCTTGTCAAACTGTACTCTCCCGAGAGCTGAAAAGCCTGCCCTGTGATTCCAGATTCACCTCCGAGGCTAGCGGCTGGGCAGCAGTGAGCCTGAACTCGCCCTTTCTTATGTCCCATAGAAGGTTTTCAACCACTACAGCTCAGCAGTGAGCTCTAAAGCTCCTCTGAAGTTGGTAGCACATCAGAATTTTGCTGCCTTGGCGAATTCTGGTAAGGCTGTCCCCTTTGTATATTAGCTGTTCAAACACCCTGTGACAGTTTTAGAGGGATTGGACAGCCACAATCTGTCAGCTGGCACAGAAATGCTTTCAAAGACCAACCAAAAGGGAGGAAATATTGATTTCAATAAAAACACAGATGTGAGGATCAAAGAGCATCACTGGTAAAAGTCCTGCTCAAGGGCATGAGCCAGCAAATTAAAAAGGAAGAAGTTCTCTGGGCAAGTTATTCTTCCCTGAGCAGCTTTCCAGGTTTTCATGCTGCCCAGGGTGAGCTTTGGCACTGGTGCTTCTCAAAGAGGTAGAGACAGGCTTAAACCTCTCCTTTGGTCATGCTGTTCTTCAGTATTGCTGCGTTTTCAGGCTATTCACCATTGAATGGAGAACATCACACTCCTAATTCCCATCAACAGTTCTAAATTAACTTTTGACTCTTTAAAGGAACAAGAGGTGATGTGTACAGACACAGATGCAAGGGGGAGATTACATTTTCTGCATGAGGGAGAAAAAAGACAATCCAGATTAAAGCAGCAACTGTGCCAACTGATGAGAGTTGGTTTTTGTTAAGTCTTTGAATTTGTTATTATCTGCTTTTATAAAGCAAAATTCTTTCTTGATTGAGAACCTAACATTTCTTCTCTGAGGGTTGGAAAAAAACAGAGTTTGCTCCTCTAGGGGCTCTATTTACATATGGGAGACTAGACTAAAGCTGCTTTCATCTTTGCAGATGATGATAATGAATATAAGATAGTTATTTTGTAGGCTGAAAATCTTTAATGTCTATGTTTAAGTATTACATTGCAACTATTTCAGTCCCAACCAGGTAGCACATTCATATTGTAACAAAGCATCCTTTCATTGAACACAGAAGAAAAGAAAACATGGCCGGTTCTTGCTCAACACCTGATTTTTTCAGGAGAGGTTTTTTCTCCTGATTCGGCTCTAGGGAGCAGCAGTTCCCTACTTCAGACATCACAGTGACATTGCTTATAGACTATGAAGAGGAAAGTTTGCAGCTCAACGTACACAGTCTATCCAGATTAAGAGATCTGTTTGAACGTTTAATCTACTGAAGCAGTCATCTCATTTTCCCCACACTTTAGGTCTGCTTCAGAAGATAAAAATCTCTAATATCCTCCCTCAGCTGGAAGCAAGATAGCAAGGTTATTGAATGTGGGAAAATACAGCCATTTGCATCCTCCCAAAGATGCTCTGCAAAACACTTACTGTAACAGATTTGTCTCCAATGCTTGTCTTAACTCTCTCTATACAACTTCTAGGCCCTTCTACCTGTGCCACTATGGAATAATAAAAACTGTCTCATTTCTCCAGTAGTTACAAGATCCATAAAGACACCTCTCTTCCTTTAGAAAGCCACCAAGAGCACACACATCTTCCTAGAAAAGAAATCACATCATTTTCTGAGCTTGCAAATCACTTTTAGCATAGCTGCCTTTGGGCTGGATATGAATTCACATCGCTTGGTACATCAGTTTTGCTTCCTACACAGCAATCTCATCGCTGGGAAGAGCCGGCATCTCAGATGCCGCGCTGCTGCTGCGCGGCCTGACAGTGACCTGCCCCATCAGTTGTGTCCAGTGCAACTGCTCCTTAAAATAAGGGCTGAAGGATTTGACTGACTACTCTGTTTCAGGGGATTGGTTTATTTTCCTTTTATCCTTCCTATACTTTCCAAATCCCCTGTCTGCAGCCCAGGGAGAAGCTGGGCAGACCCAGGACAGGCAGCTGACTGATGCTGACTCACAGCCAGCACTGCCAAACTCTCAGACAAGTTCTGCACCACCCTGCCCTCTAATCTGTGAGGACTCACTAACTGCTGAGCAGCACAACCAAGTTGCCTGCCCATATGCTGCTCCAGGGCCTCCACACCACCTTCTCTTAGGGTTAGTCTCTCTTCCTCTCCCCCGAACACCACCAGCTGCCTGGCTGCCGCCCACTCCACAGCACTGCACCCTGTCCCTGCCAAACAGATCTGGCCAACTGCTGCAGGTCCAGACCTGCACAGAACCACCCACTTCTAAACCTCACAGCTCTGAACAGCTGTAATTACTCTTTTGAATGTGAAATTGCTCTTTAATGCCCAGCTGACTAACGGGCATTAAGCCCACAGTGGTGACAGGCTCTGCAGCTACCTGGCAGATTTTATTCCTGTACCTGCAGATGGCTGTAGAATAAATACCAATGTGGATTCGACTGCTTCTTCTAACTCTCCTGCCCTCAGCAGCCAAACAAATACCCATTTATTGAGTTTATTACTCTAAAACAAAACTACAAACCCAATTCAGGTTATACAAATATTCCCATTTATCTGCTTTTTAACTGTAAATAGTGTTATTAAAGCCATGATGGTCTAGAGATAGACAAGAGATTTTTTTTCAGGGAATACCAACTTTATTAAACAAACCTTTGGACTTACATACTAATTTGTGACTTCTATACAGTCATGTATCATATATATGCATTCAGGATGCTTTGTTTTGTTGTGTAATACAATTACATCGACATTAACAGCAGCACTGGAGTCGCCCAGTACACCACTGTCTGAACTTGAATTTGCAAGTCTTTTTAAGAAAATGTTCAGTGAACCTAAATCACATTCAGAACTCATAAGGACACTCTTAAAATGTCGGTGCATTAGCAACTGAGTTGCTTTTCCTACTTCCTGAACAGAAACCACCTGGCTTCTTCTGTTAAGAGAAAATCACTGTAACTATACTCCTAGGTACATACTCCCCATAAAGGCTTCCTTCTCCACAGGAAGAGAGAAATTAAACGTAAAGCTGTCACCAAGACCTGGAAAAGAATAAAAACTAGATTAGAGAATAGCTCTGTATCTTTTCCTGTATTTGCTGGATTAGCCCAGCTTTCCCCCCACCCCCAAAAAGGGCTGCACTTCATCCCAAGCAGGGCACCAGAGCCAGGCCCAACACAACTCCCTTCCAGAAATACTCCTGCCCCCGTGCTGGCAATCACTAGGGGTGAGGACAGACAGCTCAAACTCTGTTTCACAGAGCCTGCACTGCATTTATAAATGGAGAAGATACAGTGGCAGAGTATCAGGAGTTTCATAAGCCATGTAGCACACAGGAGGAAAAAACAAGCAACCCCTCTCACTGCAAGCTCAGTACTAAACCCAGTGTTGCAGCAGGATACACAAATCTAAACAAGTATTTGCACTACTCACTTTTCAAATCAAGGTTTCGTTTTTCTGCTGCTAGAAATACATAGTATTTTTTAGGGTGCATCGAACAGTTTCAGGCAAAGCTGTTTACTCTAGATGAGCTTAGCCTATACAAGCTCAGAGAGAAGATTACGTGATCATACCCTGGTCAGAGCAAAGACACAAAGTCTCAGCAATACCAGTTCAGACACTACTTCGCTCATCATTGCTTTGGGCAAGTTTATTTCCATTCAATAAGGAGCCTGCTCCCAAGTCAGGAACTAGAACAGAAAAGTTTTTTTTTCCCCTGGAGGAAAAACCACACACACACACACACACACACACACACACACACACACACCCCCTTCCCACCCCAATAAACACAAATTAACGTGGGTTCTGGGTTAATTATTTTCAGAATCATGTAGCTTTCTACAGAACAGAGTTTGCAATAAGTTAACAGTAACCCTTGGGAGATGAGACAGGAGTGGCTGTTACAAGACTGAAAAACTGAGCCCCGAGTTGCTGTTTCTACCTTCCTGTACCCACCTCTGTCACACCACAGCAGAGCTGGAACGCTGCACCACTGGTACGGATGATGTCTCTCCCCACAGAGCCTGTGTTCAGCTGTGTGCATGACAAAGCCATGTTGGTAGAGTAACACAGGCAAGCGCTCTGTTTCCCCTTCCCAAACACCACTAGTTAAGTCAGCAAAACCCCTCTATACACAATGCCACCCTACAAGGCACGACAGACTCCAAATAGGTGTTAATTAAAGCTTTGGCTGATCTGCAAGCACACAATAGGCAAAAGGAGCTGGTTCCGTATCACCTCCTACTGTTAGAGATAACAAGATGAAGCACATTTAGCAGGGGAGCAAGGGAAGGGAGAAGGGCCACATGCCTGATAGAACCGAGCTGGAGCTAGGGAAGACAAGTCACAAACTGGGATTCCAAGATCAGGAGAGCCAGTACCAGGCAAAACAAAGAGGAAACAAACTATCCTACCTATAAACCCTGCTCACGTCGGCGGCTCTCCAAGGGTCCAGAGACCTATTTTGATCTAACCCTCCCCTCATGCCACCCACCTGCACCCTATTTCTAATCTCCTTCCCCGCACCCTCCCCCCCAGACCCCTTGCAGCTCTTCAGTGTCCAGTTCCCCCACCCCCGTCCTCCCCAGCGGCCTCAGCCCGCGATGCCCTACCCCAGCATCCCTCTAGCCCCCTCACACCCCGATGCCCTACCTCGGCCGGGCTCACCCTCTCCTCAGCCCGCCGCCGCCCGCCCCCCCCAAGCCCCTCACAC